TGTACCGTGGGCTACCGACTGATCCATCAGCTTATTCTGAGGCGTAATGGCATAAATACTCTCTTGGGTCCCTAAAGTCCCGGCCTTTAAGTCTTGCCCTCGGCCTTGACCCATGCCCTGGCCCATAGTAGGGTAGGGAGGAATGTAGTGTGTCTGTGGCTGCCTTCCGAAAGGTCTTCTTCCAGTGTGCAAAACCATCCAGAAGATTTTGGCAGGGGCATAGGTAGTTCAATGTGCAAACCTTCCAGAAGGTTTTCACCAGATTCGCCTTTTTCTTGATTTCTTCACCTTCTAAGCCTCCCTTTAAGCCACCCCTCATCTCCATTGATTTTGAGCACTACGATGGGGGCTTAACTCAAGCCATTTCCAACTCTTTACCTGTAATCACATAACAACTTCCTTAATTGTTTGCTTAATTGCATTTCCTCCCATTTTCACCACAAAGCAAGTATAAAAGGGTATAAAAGTATACATAATGTGAAATATTTTGTGCTAATCACTTATTAATGATTTAAACTAAGCAAAATCTTTTTTGTGTTAGAGGTTGGTTTCACACACAATGCACTTGAATTAGTCTTAGTTGAACAAAATTTTAACATTGTCAAAGAAATTGAACAAAGTGAAGAAATATTACTATAAGATGCATGAAATTGAGTTTTATATTCTTAAATATGCCTTAGAGTAATGTATCGTGATGATGAATTCTAGATGGATCCATTAAAATGTGAATTTGTGTAATTTTCATGACTATGAATTTTGAGCATTAACGTTTAAAATTGAAAATTGTATTAATTTTTATCTAAATTCACCCATGCATGTGGATATAGTAGCATATAGGTTGTACATATACCCCTATATGTTCTTTTAGGCTAAGGAGTAATTAAGAGCCATTGAGAACACATGATTGAATCCCTCAGGCTATCCAATCACTACTTTTCACCTACTGCACTTCTAAGAAGGAGTCCGAATCACCCCAATTTTCTTTTTGGAATGTGCTTACAACCATTTGAGCANACTTCTAAGAAGGAGTCCGAATCACCCCAATTTTCTTTTTGGAATGTGCTTACAACCATTTGAGCAGTTATTTTTAGAGACTTGTAGTGTAGGTCATATGTGTGGTTGAGAGTGTTTTTATATTCATTTGTGGCCTATACTAAAGTACTCTTTATTTTTATTTTTATTTTTGACTTTTCCAAGTTATTTACTTTTGTTTGTTTAGTTAATTTTTGTTTGTTGTGACATACTCTTAGTCCTAATCTTATCATAGTTGACTTTGAGTGATATGTCTTGTTTGGCCCTTGCTTATTTTACTTGAATGATTTGGCTTAGTTGATGTGAATTTATACCTTCTTGTTATACTATGATTATATGTCATGATTGTTATATGTTGGCATTGGGTTGACATTTACAACAAATAAGATAAGAATATGTTGGGTAACTTGACTATGTAGCATCCTTGTTCCATGTTGTCATTGGGTTGGCATTTTTGACAAAAAAGGGGAGAATATTTTAGGTACATATGAGAGGAATCAGGAAGATTTACTCTTGACTAGGCTAGATATGTTGCATGTGAAAATAAAAAGGGGAGTTTTTTGAAATACTCATGGGTAGTAAATTTACGAACTTTGCATGAAGTCACGTATTTTACACTTTGTTTATTTTTCACTTGTTATTTTACTTGTGAACACCAACTAAGGGGGAGAATTTGTAGTGTTTCATATTGATAGATCAGTAGGTTCTTAAACATATTGGAAAAGTTATTCTTAACATGTCACATATTTGCACTTCCATAATATACATACTTACCCTATGCTTAACTTGGTACTTTCCAAATCTATATTATGTTATGTATTTCTATAACATAAGATGCTTTTTATGAGATTTTGCTTTGAGTGGTGATGTGTAGGACTACGATCTTCAATTTTCATTTAAAGAAGTAGATCTTGTGCTTAGATAGATATATACGACATGTACAGGAGAGTTGAAATTATATTTATAATTCATTTTATTCAATAGTTTGTGAGTTCTAATCTTAATTTCTAACTTGTGTATTTTGTCACGAAATTGCTAAAGGGGGAGATTGTTAGATCATATTTTGTAATTGGCTAATTTCATGAAGTCTATGGTAAATATTAATATTTTTCATGGTCATGATGCTATCAAGTTGAAGATCCGAAAGGTTCATTGAAGATAGACACCTTCATGCGTAGAACAAAGGTAATGACATAGACACCTAAGATGCACCCTTATTTATTTTGCAACTTAAGATGATTAGGATGAAAATGGAATCGAAAGAAATCCGCGTATGGCTCCTTGGTGATTTCAAAAGAAAAGATTTTTTAAACCATTTTGTGTTTTGAAAACATAGATTGAGCCATTATCGAACCCCTCTCGAGCGATGTTGCTCTTGGACTGGGTGGAAATGTGATTTTCATTCCGCTACCAACTGCCCTCCCATTGGTTGAGCAATTGTTCGCGAATATGAGTTTTCTTATTTACTAAGACTACCCTAATTGTAGACCTATAAATAGGGAGGGCCTTTCACATAGCTAAGGTAGGCCTCTTGTGAAATTTTTAAAAGAGAAAATATTTCTTCTACCTTGAGAGCTTCTACAACTAACCTAGATCCCTAAATCCAAAAGCCACCACTAGAGATTCTACCTAACTTCACAACTTGGTGTTAAAGATTTTCATGATGTAAACCAAACCCATTGGTGTGTGCATACTAGGAATCGTTGGGGTGCCCATAATTTTGTGAGGCCTAGACAAATCGTGCAATGGGAAGGTCCAAGTAAAGCTACTCCAGATGTTTAAGGAAGGTCTTTTATGGAGAGACAATAAGGAAAGGAGCATCTAACAGTGGTATTAGTTGAGGTATATGACTTAAGTACTTGTGTTGACTTAGCGAGTAGTGGATTAGGCTATTGGTGAACTGAGAAGATTCCTCACGATTTTTCCCAAAGAGGGTTTCCATGCTAAGNCATCCCAATTTCCAGCAATGTCCTCAAATTTGAAATATTCAATACATTCTTTTTTTTAATATATAGGATATGCATTTGTAGGGAGACCCTACATCTGGGAAAAAAAGTGAATTGGATATTCCAAATTTGACATGAGCTCCCTACTTTTTTGGATTATGAAAATTGGCCATGCACCACTTATCATACTCAATTGAAAAAAAAATCAACTTACAGTCCACGAAGACAAAGTATAAGATCCAAGTATACAGAAAATAATTATAGCTAACTATTCCAAGACACAGATCACGTAATCTTTACAAACGATATCCAACAGATTTATGCTGTGATGGCAACATGGATTTGAGCAAAACTTAGCTCAATATTTGAACTAGTTACTCCCCCAATCAGATTTTGAAGAGCTGGATCCACGCTGCCAAACACCTTACCTCAATCGAAAATATTCAATTCACAAATAAATATGTATTTAAACCTTTGCAGCATATACAAAAGGCTCAATTGAAATCAAGAAAAAACCACAGAAATAGTTTATTTATATGGGTTAATATATAAGTATGTTTGTATCGTACATGTGTGCATTAGAAACCCTAAAAATATGAGAGAGAGAGAGAGAGAGAGAGAGAGAGAGAGAGAGGGGCGAGAGAGAGAACTTACGATCTCGACCACCACGAACGCCACCTCTAGAGGGATGATACATTTTCTGACTCCAAGCTAGATAGCTTCAACTTTTTCTGGTAATCGTCTTCTTGCTTTTGCGCGCCCTATTTATCTGCGACTAGATGGGATGAACTCGAAAGTTTATGATGGGCATAGACGTATAGTCGTGGATGGAAAAAAACGATGAGAGTCGCTTTGCAGAAAGGCCCCTAAACTTCTAATAATTTATTTTGGACTTCATTTTTTTTTAACCCTTTTTGTTTTTGATGCATCGCTCTACTTTAAAGCCAAACCATGATCAGGATCAGGATATCCCGAGTTTTTTATTCGTCTATCATTTTTTTTTTTTGATTTTTTTGTCAAATTATAATAATTTTATTGAAATATAATTCTATAAAAAATTAAAAACAATTTATATCAATATATCCCTAAGTAGGGCTGTCAATTTTCGACACGACACGTTAACACGACAAGAACCGAACACGAAATAAATGGGTTGAACACGAAATTAAATGGGTCAATGGATAAAAATGGGTCAACACGAAAAAAAATAAGTTGAGTTTATGTCGAAATCAGATCAACTCGATTTTGACCTGATTAACCCGTATATTTTAAACAGGTTAATATAATTTGACCCGAACCTGACCTATCCATTTCTTACCCGTTTAACCCATTTATCCAAATATATAAAAGCAACAAAAAAAAAAACTTAACCCTAACCCACTCCTACTTTTCCCCTTTTTCACTCTCAACCACCGTTAGTCGCTTTGTCTGGAGGAGTAGAGGAGAACTCACTATTCAAGCCATTGTTGTTTTTGTCGTTCATGCCTTCACCGTTGCTCAACCNCTTTTTATTTGTGTTGGGTTGTTTTTAATTTTGTGAAGAGGGAGGGTAGACAAAAATAGGAGGATAGGCATAACACAAATCATTTATCACAACATGATGATCATCAACCCATCAAAAAAGAGTTAAAGACAAATTGAAGTATGCTATCAGATGCTTTAGGCCTCAAGTTATCTACATATCTAGATGGTCCAATCATTCTTACTCTCACGAAATGCCCCTCAGGTCTGTCCCTCTAGTTTCATTCAACTTCAACAGTTCTATTAAAAGATCTCAAAGTAGACAACTGATGTAGATTAAATAAATCGTACCTAACATGACAGCCCTCATTTTCTACGCATTACACAGCACACAGCAGGAAGATTTATTGGAACTTGCTTACATTTTTCTCTACTTACCTTTATAAGTTGTATTGGAAGTTTGTGTATTTTTTTTGGTATTTTGACCAAAAATGTACTGCATTGTATGTGTGTTATATATTTTTCTTACATATTTTTTTTTGGCATTTGTGTTGGGAACAGATGAATTCACTTCCATTGAATGACGAACACATTGATGGACCTGCCCCTGTAGCTGATGATGTTGCCATAGCTGAATCAAATCATGCTTCTGATATTCAAGATAGGCTAGAACTGGATGGTGTTGATAAACCAACAAATAAACGTCAACGAAGGTTCACCTCAAAAGTATGGGGAAACTATACTTTTCTTAAAGAACCAAGTCCAGAAAGATTGCTGAGATGCGAATATAAGAAATGTAGCAAGTTTATAATATTGATAGTAAGCACGGCACTAGGAATTTCAAGTGACACACTGCAACTTGTTTGAAGTGAACCACCTATGATATTGGTCAACTACTTATAACCCAATCCAATGGTGCTTTGGGATCTAGGTATTTTAAATTTGACGTAGGGAAGTTTAAAGAGTTATTGATTTATGCAATTGTTAAACATGAACTTCCATTTCAATTTGTTGAGTATGGTGGCATTAGAAGTCTTTTCACCTACTTATGTCCCCAAGTCATACAAATTTCTAGGAATACTGCTAGCGTGGAAGTTATGAAACTGTATGCTATATCAAAAGGGAGGATTTCTCAAGAACTGCAAGACTTGCCTGGTAGGATTTGNGCGTGGAAGTTATGAAACTGTATGCTATATCAAAAGGGAGGATTTCTCAAGAACTGCAAGACTTGCCTGGTAGGATTTGTTTAACTTCTGACTTGTGGACTTCTATTGTTACTGACGATTACTTGAGTCTCACTGCACNTATGCTATAGAGAAAGGGAGGATTTCTCAAGAACTGCAAGACTTGCCTGGTAGGATATGTTTGACTTCTGACTTACGGACTTCTATTGTTACTGACGGTTACTTGAGTCTCACTGCACACTACATTGATAAAGATTTGGTGTTGAAAAAGAGAATTTGAATTTCTCTTACATGCCTCCTCCCCATACTGGACTTGCTTTGTGTGAGAAGATTTATAGTTTGTTAAATAGTTGGGGTATTGAGAAAAAACAATTTTCACTTATTTTAGACAACGCAGCTGCAAATGATGTGTTGGTTGATTTGCTTAAAAATCAACTTAATCTGCAAGATGCATTGTTGTGTGATGGTAGTTTATTTCATATCCGTTGTTGTGCTCATATTTTGAATTTGATAGTTCAAGAAGGTTTGAAGGAAATAGGTGAAGTTGTTGAAAAGATCCGGGAATGTGTGAAATATGTAAAGGGATCTCAAGTTAGGAAGAAAAAGTTCTTGGAATGTGTTGCACAAACATCTTTGGACAGGAAGAGAACTTTGAGGCAAGATGTTCCAACTAGGTGGAAGTCAACCTATCTCATGCTTGCAAGTGTCATTTACTATTGTTGTGCATTTTCTCATTTGCAACTAAGTGATTCTAATTTTAGACATTGTCCAACTCAAGAAGAATGGGATAGAGTGCAAAACATTTGTAGGTTCTTAGAATCTTTCTATGATACTACTTGTGTTTTTTCTGGTTCCAAGTATCCTACCTCAAATTTGTACTTTCCAGAAGTTTTCTTGATTCAACTTAATTTAAGTGAAGAGATGAAAAATTCGGATGTTTTCATGAGGAGGATGGCACATCAGATGTTTGGGAAATTTGATTAGTATTGGTCAAAGTATAGCTTGGTTTTGGCTATTGCGGTGATATTTGATCCTCGTTATAAAATTCAGTTTGTGGAATTTTCCTATAAGAAGCTTTATGGTGATGAATCATTTGAGTTCAACCGTGTTGGCGAGAAGTTATTCTCTTTGTTTGATGAGTACATGCACAATTCTTCTAAGGCTAGTTCTTCATAGACATCATCTTCTCAGGACGTAGATCATGGTTCTCGTGGTAGTCACCAACATCATAGCATAAATCAGATCAAAGCTAAACTTATGGTGATATGTTTTTTTTAATTTACTTGCATTGTGTTACTAATTTAGTATTATATGATATTAAGATTGATTCTCTTTTAACTTATTTTGTCTTCTTGAACATAGGAATTTGACTCTTATGAGAGTGAAACATTTATTTGTAGTTCACATAAAAGTCAATTACAATTGTATTTGGATGAGCCTAGAGTTGATAGAAATGAAAAACTTGATGTACTTGCTTNGTTTTCATGAGGAGGATGGCACATCAGATGTTTGGGAAATTTGATAAGTATTGGTCGTAGTATAGCTTGGTTTTGGCTATTGCGGTGATATTTGATCCTTGTTATTCAGTTTGTGGAATTTCCCTATAAGAAGCTTTATGGTGATGAATCATTTGAGTTCATTCGTGTTTGTGAGAAGTTATTCTTTTTGTTTGATGAGTACATGCACAATTCTTTTAAGGCTAGTTCTTCACAGACATCAGTTTCTCAGGACGTAGATCATGGTTCTCGTGGTAGTCAACAACATTATAGCATGAATCAGATCAAAGCTAAACTTATGGTGATATGATTTTTTTAATTTACTTACATTGAGTTACTAATTTAGTATTATATGATATTAAGATTGATTCTCTTTTAACTTGTTTTGTCTTCTTGAACATAGGAATTTGACTTTTATGAGAGTGAAACATTCATTTGTAGTGCACAGAAAAGTCAATTACAATTTTATTTGGATGAGCCCAGGGTTGATAGAAATGAAAAACTTGATGTACTTGCTAATTGGAAAGCTCACCAATTTCGTTATCTGAAACTTGCTCTAATGGCTCGTGATGTGTTAAGTGTTCCCATTTCTACGGTTGCTTTAGAGTCTACATTTAGCACCGGTGGTAGGGTTCTTGACTAGTATCTTAGTTCTTTGAAGCCGGATGTTGTTGAGGCTTTGATATGCACAAAAGATTGGTTGTTTGGAGAAAGAGGTAAATATAAGTTATGTGATTGCTTTAGAATTTGTGTTTTAAAGAATGAAATCTTAATTCTTATGCATGTATATATTTGTTTCATTTTAGATCCTGCACAAAATGATTTGGAGGAAATTATAGAAAATATGATGAATATCAATATTGAGCAAGATGGTTCTACTATGACTAATGATGATCATTGATTGAAGATACATCGTTATTTTTAGTGTTTAATCTATTAGTTTGTGTTTGTCTTGTTTTGCTTTTCTGATTGAAGTATTTCTTCTTTTGATTAGGACCTGTGAAATGTCAAAGTTTTGTGTGCAACCGTGCCTTGTTGGAGGAGCAACAATTGCTTATTTTGTTCATATTTCATGTAGCATGTCAATAGCAAGTCATCTTTTAGAATATGATCTCAAAAATGACATGCTATTGCTTTTGCTTATTTGCTACTGCTTTTGTTTTATTATTCCAGCATATTTTGTATGTTATATGAATGGTTGATGTGGAACATGTGGTCTTTAACATAATGGAAGTATATTAGTATAGTTCTTGTTTTAATTTTTGGATTGAAACTTGATCGCATTTTAGTTAAATAGGTTAAATAGGTGCAGGATCAGATTTGAGATATTTGAGATGCAGTAGGATCAGAGATCAGGATGAGAGATGCGATCAGAGATAAGGAATTAAAATTCTAATGCATGATGCATGAATCCAGCTGAAGGAGTAAGCTCTAGCTGTAGGCAAAAGACTCCAGTTGAACAAAACAGACAGCAGGTGAGAAGCAGTCCAGAGGAAATAGCTGAATAGAGTCTAGCTGAACAGGCAGTGCAATTGAAGCAGACATCGCAGACAGCGCAGTGCAGTTGACGTTTGTTGTTTACTGTTTTTTTTTCCTTTTTTTTTTGTGTGGCTATTTTAACTAATGGATTGTATGCAATCAGGTGAGATATCCAGATCGTATAACTCTTATTAGAGGGAACCATGAGAGTCGCCAAATTACACAGGTTAAGTCTTATTTATTGATTTTCTAAATCAATTTTACATATCTGCCTGACATATTTATTGGCTATCCTCCTTTTTTAGGTATATGGATTCTACGACGAGTGCCTACAGAAGTATAATTCTCCTCTTTTTTCTTTTTACTCAACCACTATGTCTTTAATGCACATTTAGATCAGCTTACACAACAGGTGCCCTGGTTTTCATTTTGTCCATGTCGTGGTGTGTTTTAAACCATTTAAACTTCACTTTTAACTAAACTTTCTACTTCAATGTGACTCACTCCAGTTTGTCGGCTCTTATTGAAAACAAGATATTCTCTGTTCATGGTGGTCTCTCTCCTGCCATTTCTACGTTNTGAACTTTCTGCTTCAATGTGACTCACTCCAGTTTGTCGGCTCTTATTGAAAACAAGATATTCTTTGTTCAAGGTGGTCTCTCTCCTGCCATTTCTACGTTAAACCAAGTCTGAGAATTTGTCTTGTATTATTTAATTTATTTTTTGAAGCCTTATTTAGGAAATTAATGTTGGCTACTTTCCAGATTCGAACAATTGATAGAAAGCAAGAAGTACCCCATGATGGTGGCATGTGTGACCTCTTATGGTCAGATCCTGCAGATATTGTTGATGGTTTGTGGCTTAACTTCTTACAAAATTGTCCTATGATGGCAGCTAAATTGCTAATGGGTGCATATAGAGTGATTTTCATGGATGATATATCAACTGGGCTTGATAGTTCAACAACACATCAAACTGTTAATTATCCTAGGCACACAACTCATGCTTTTGATGGGACTACATTCATTTCACTCTTGCAACCAGATCGAGATGTTACCAGTTTTGAGAACCAAAAATTTATCGTAGTTCTTGATGATCATGAATGAATTGTGTATGGTATGTGGGGGCATAGGAGGTTGCTGCTTGCTGGTCTTGTTGGAGCAGATTTGGAGTTGGAATGATTGTGCAGGCATTGAAAGTGGCTGTTTTTATTGTCCATAGAAGAAATTTATGATTTTTTTTTCTTCATGTTTTGAAGGATTAAAGCTATTTAATTGGAAATGGATATTAGGAATTGATTTTCTTTTGCTTCTTGTAATTCTTTGAATTTTATTCAATAAAATCTTTCCATTTTTTTTTAAGTTGTTAAACAAATAGAATTTGATGTGTGGGTTAAACTGGTTAACATGTTGTGTAATATATTAACTCAAAAATGACCTGTTTATTAAACGTATCAAACATGTTAAGTTCAGGTAACACATTTAATGGCTAAAATCAAACAAAACTCAAATTCCCATGTAAGCATCTCTTTCACTCTTTTTTATCTCTCCTATCTAATTGTCTTTTAGATCCTCACTCCATGTAGATCCCCCGTCATCTCTTCTCCACCCCAATCCATCACAAAATTGTAAAAATAAAAATAAAAGAATAAAGTTAAAGGGGCACAAAATTTCGGCGTATGTCTCAGTATAATGATGCATGTACGTGACAAAGTTATGTGCGCATCTAGAATGTGAACAGTTAAAGCAATGCCAAGATCAAACCGAGCTAATTTAGATCGAGTTAAGACTAAAATAATTCAGTAGGGATATTTATATAATCAGATCGAGTTTCCCTGAGAATGTGAAAACAGCTCGGACCGAGTTAAGTAATTGGATACCTATTATTCATGGGTAAGGTATGTAAGTTACTGAAAATATAGTAAACAACATCAATAATTTTTGTAATGCCCCAAAATTTACTCTGCACGACATTAACTACCTATATAATATCCAACCATGAGAGCATAATAAAGTACGATTAAATAAATAAAATCATGCATAATTTAACATCTGATTAGATAAATCCAAAAAAAAAACATAAATCAACTATCAAATATAAACTCAAAAAACTAAAATTCATTCTCAAACTTCCACAGCTAGATCCACGTCATGATCCCCCTCAGCAACCCAATCTATCAGCTCATCTAACTCTAGATTCTTCTCAACACTAAAATATGAAAAAAGTTATGGTAGGGTGAGCAATAAAGCGCAATAGAAAAATATTCTCGAACCCAAGCAAGGTTTAAAAATCATTAAAACGGGTAAGTCACACTTTATAGTTTTGAAGTAAAACAATGACATTTAATGAGATCTCAAGTCTACAGTACCAAATAGTAAAGTTTACAGAAGTAAAACTCATTCCCGCAACAATTATTCACAAATATTATATCTTATGTACCCAGGTAGACTAGTATGAAACTACAACACGAACATATCTGGTCCACACCATAATCAAAAACCATCAAATTAATCCTCGCAAGGTCATAAAACTTTAGGAAAGACATATACCAACGCATTGACAGTGACGAATCCTTTTCAGANACCACAACATAATCAAAAACCATCAAATTAATCCTCGCAAGGTCATAAAACTTTAGGAAAGACATATATCAACGCATTGACAGTGACGAATCCTTTTCAGAACTAGTATACTAACTTCCAGTCTTGATCATCGTGAACGAATATTAGTTTGGTTATCGCAAGACACCAACCCCACTACGAGTGATAGGAAATCTTCAAACCCNAATCAAAAACCATCAAATTAATCCTCGCAAGGTCATAAAACTTTAGGAAAGACATATACCAACGCATTGACAGTGACGAATCCTTTTCAGAACTAGTATACTAACTTCCAGTCTTGATCATCGTGAACGAATATTAGTTTGGTTATCGCAAGACACCAACCCCACTACGAGTGATAGGAAATCTTCAAACCCTTCGAGGTAAGAAAAAATATCTAAACACTCTGTGATATAGATTCAAGTGTAATTCACGTTCATCGCACCCACCCATGCAAAAGATAAATTCCACAACTTTTTCATAAAATCTAACGACAACCAAGAATCATGGTTTCATAACTTTTCCAAAGGAATTATTCAAGAAAACATTCAAGAGATCCCTAATAAAACATATTTGAATTGATAGTAATCAAAAACTAGGATTTTTTGTAATCAAGACATGTAAATTTTGTTGTAAAACACATGTAGATTAGGTTATAAATCAAGAACCAGGGTTCTTCAATTAAACATATGATTTTTNAAAGATAAATTCCACAACTTTTTCATAAAATCTAACGACAACCAAGAATCATGGTTTCATAACTTTTCCAAAGAAATTATTCAAGAAAACATTCAAGAAATCCCTAATAAAACATATTTGAATTGATAGTAATCAAAAACTAGGATTTTTTGTAATCAAGACAAGTAAATTTTGTTGTAAAACACGTGTAGATTAGGTTATAAATCAAGAACCAGGGTTCTTCAATTAAACATATGATTTTTGGAGGTAAAATATTTATTTATATATAAATAATCCATTTATTCAAGAATTTAAGAATATATTAAAAAATAAAAACTTTATAGATCTATCACATATATAGAATAAGAGTCAAAAAACTAGATTTGAAATCAATAATGGATAGATCTTTGAAGCAAATCATGTATTTTGTTCAATATACGAATTATGGATTCAAACAAATGTACAAGCATTGTAGATCAATTATTTATATGAAAAAATATATTATATAAACCAAAACATCAATAAATGAATTTGAGAAAAAACTCCTACCTTGATTCTTGATATCTTGATTCTAACATCTTTTGTTACGATTATCACGTGTTAATCTTTTAAGATTCAACTTGTGCTTCCTCCTTTTCTTCTCCTAAAAATTTCCTAGGTTTCTTGGGGTTGAAAAGATATGTAAAGACTCTTTAGATTATGGCCCTAGGGTATTTATAGGCTTAAAAATGGAGAATTATCATGTGGGGCACGGGTAGCAGTATGCCCCTGACTTTCAATTCAATTTTGACCTAATTAGAAGTTTATTCACAAAATGTTCATGAAATACACTTTTCTATCCTTTGAAGTCTAGTTTCTACTGTAAAAATTTCAGTTCAATCGGATATTAGGATAAAATTTATGATCTAAATACTAAGGTAGTATCAAATTCGTTCTACCCATAACCTCTCCAAAATAGGTTTTAACTCTTGAATATGTCTGCAATTCTAATACACCCCATATAATCTCTCCCAAGATTTTTTTGACTTATGTTATTTTCCTCTAAATATATTTTAGAACTTAACTGAATTTAGTCCTACTAAGATTGACCATCTCGGAACTTTAATATTCTCAATATATCCACATTATTCTATGATTACTACTTACATAGTTTATTCATACTNTTGGAGGTAAAATATTTATTTATATATAAATAATCCATTTATTCAAGAATTTAAGAATATATTAAAAAATAAAAACTTTATAGATCTATCACATATATAGAATAAGAGTCAAAAAACTAGATTTGAAATCAATAATGGATAGATCTTTGAAGCAAATCATGTATTTTGTTCAATATACGAATTATGGATTCAAACAAATGTACAAGCATTGTAGATCAATTATTTATATGAAAAAATNAGGAGTCAAAAAACTAGATTTGAAATCAATAATGGATAGATCTTTGAAGCAAATCATGTATTTTGTTAAATATACGAATTATGGATTCAAACAAATGTACAAGCATTGTAGATCAATTATTTATATGAAAAAATATATTATATAAACCAAAACATCAATAAATGAATTTGAGAAAAAACTCCTACCTTGATTCTTGATATCTTGATTCTAACATCTTTTGTTACGATTATCACGTGTTAATCTTTTAAGATTCAACCTGTGCTTCCTGCTTTTCTTCTCCTAAAAATTTCCTAGGTTTCTTGGGGTTGAAAAGATATGTAAAGACTCTTTAGATTATGGCCCTAGGGTATTTATAGGCTGAAAAATGGAGAATTATCATGTGGGGCACGGGTAGCAGTATGCCCCTGACTTTCAATTCAATTTTGACCTAATTAGAAGTTTATTCACAAAATGTTCATGAAATACACTTTTCTATCCTTTGAAGTCTAGTTTCTACTGTAAAAATTTCAGGTCAATCGGATATTAGGATAAAATTTATGATCTAAATACTAAGGTAGTATCAAATTCGTTCTACCCATAACCTCTCCAAAATAGGTTTTAACTCTTGAATATGTCTGCAATTCTAATACACCCCATATAATCTCTCCCAAGATTTTTTTGACTTATGTTATTTTCCTCTAAATATATTTTAGAACTTAACTGAATTTAGTCCTACTAAGATTGACCATCTCGGAACTTTAATATTCTCAATATATCCACATTATTCTATGATTACTACTTACATAGTTTATTCATACTTAATTCATTATACATCAACAAAACACATGATAATTTAATATAACTAATAGTTAGTTAGATGCTTATAGTTTTGAAGAAGTAGCTGATTTGAGAACGTTGCAGAGATTTTAGTTAAAGTGACCCTAAATTCAACGCAAGAGGGATGTTCCACCTCGCCTTGCAAACAAGGAAACTCTAAATGATGAAGACCAAGACATCCTATAAAAGGAACTAGAACAACTTAGGAAGAGATACGCACAAAAATCCCTACATTTGCCTTTGTCTCGAACCCTTACTGACTTAAGCATTAGAGTGCCTTCGACTGGTTCACTCCGGTCTTTGGCGATTTGTTCGTTTTATAGAGGGAATTGAACACTATACCATCAAGTCATCCATAACCAAATTATTTTTTGTAAGAGGTAATTCTTTTTTACCTCTTACAATTGGTATCGTCTGTAGGAAACTATTGAACAAAAAAGCAATGTCAAGGTTAAGAAGCACTATCAGATCTCCGGTGAGCCATGATGTTGATCGAAATATCGATCAAAATTACAAAGTGTCTTTCCCCTCAGATAGTGATATCCAAGATGGTGCATTCGAAAGCTAGGACAAAAGTCCTGATGATGATAACCTATTCTCGACTAGCTATA